GGCAATTATTTCATGGGTTTCTGCCCTGGATCAAGCCTTCAGGACCCCAGGGATGAGGGACAAAATATCCTACAGTTCTTACAGGGAGTGAGAGATAGATACAACCAAAGTGCCAAGGGTAGCCCATACGGACTGGCTTGGGGAATTGGGTGGGGGTTGGGGGGCTTCCTAGGCTGGGTGGTCAGGGACAGCTGAGGAGGCAACATTAGGGCTGAGACCTCACAATGGAGACCTGGACCCAGTGTCACAGGAGGGGCAGAGTTGAACAGGAATCAGGGGAGAGGTGAGCTGGGCTGAGGCTCAGGTGTCCCCCTGAGAGTGGATACAATGCCTCCAGATCTGAGATCTGCCGCTGAAGATGTGGTCTCTCCCTCGGGAATTCCCTCTGGTCCAGTGGTTAGGACTTGGTGCTTTCACTGCCGTGGTCTCGGGTTCAGTCCCTGGTTGGGAACTAAGATCCTGCAGCCAAAAAAGAAAAAAAGACACAGACTCTCTCCTGAAGATGATGCATGGACACTCAGAATGTCACCAAGGGAGATTGTGTAAGCTGAGACCTGGAAGGGTAGGGGTGCACTGGAGGACCCCCAGCAGGCCCAGCAGTGGTGGCATTCGGCCTGCTGCCCCTCACGGGCTCTGACAGCCGGCCTGAGACCTTAGAGCATGTTGCTCTGACAGATAGGGCTGTGGCTGGTCCATCATGGCTGGAGCGGCTGGTAAACCATGGTCACCATATGGGCCCCACAGGCTCCGGATCGTTGCCAGGGAGCAACTGCTGTCCAGCAGGCAGGGCCAGGACACAGTACACAGAGCGAGGCCCGGGCTTACACAGCCTTCTGGGCCAGGGGCAAGGCAGAAGGCCAATGTTTGGCTCTCACGTGGTGGTTAAACAGGCAGAGCCACCGGAACCTCAGGGATAAAGCAGGGGCTAGACCCAAAGATTTCATCGTGGGAACTCGGGAAGACTTCCTTACTCTTCATTCTGGAGGCACATTCAGAGGGCCAGGGTGTATGGCTTTATGTCCCAAAGCAGAGAGATAGGGAGCTCACGGGGGGAAGGCAGTGGAGGGCAAGAAACAGCTTCTGGGCCAGGGACAGGTCCAGAGAGGTTCCTTGAGTACTAGGGAATCTGCCCTCATGCCATCCATGAGCCAGGCCATGCTGTTGCAAGGAGGAGCAAATCAGTGCCAGGCAGTGTGCCTCACATCAGAGGAGCAGTGCTGGAGGGCTTCCTGGAAGAGGTGGGGCTGCAGCTCGACAGTGAAGGGTGGGAAAGATTTGGAAAGGAATGTGTGTTGAGGGAAGGTGTTATTATTTGGGGCAGAAGGAGCAGCAAGGATGAAGGGTGCAGATTGGTTCTAGCGTCTCTTGAAGATCCTTCTGTATCTCAGGCCATGGGGCAGGGCAAGGAGTGCAGACCACTGGGGCTGGAGCTGCTGGTTCAGGGCAGGCAGGGGCTGGGCCAGAGACCTGGAACTCCTGTCGCCTCCCACCCACAGGAGAGCAAGGGGCCTGCTTACATCCTGGGGGTGGATGGGGGAACAAGGGCAACTTCAGTTTCTTTCTGCCTTTGGGGTCTCCCAGGAATGAGCAGCAGGAGGAGCTCTGGGCCAGGCTGGAAACAAACCGGATTCAAGCTGTGAGTGAGCCACCAAGAGTGTAGGAGCCACGGCGGATTTAGGACAGACTCTTGGAACAGGGCTTTCCCCCAGGTAGAAGTGGTCATGTTCCTGGGAGTCAAAAAACACTCGTTTAGGGATGAGCAAGGTGGTGGCAGAGGTCTTTGGGGTCCCTGCCCAGGTGTCACCCGTGTCTCACCCCCGTCCTCTCCTTCCTCCCCCACTCCCCCTGCCTCCCCACTTCTTTCCTCCCCTCCTACCCACTCCTCCCCTGCCCCTACCGCCCTATACCAGGCTTTCCTGCTCCAGCCAGGAGCTCTTGGGTCCTGGATGTTTTCTCAGGCTGCCCAGGCCTTTATCGCCAAGTCTATACAATGGTGGGGGAGGACCCAGGGGTCTTCTTAGGTTCCTGCAGCATCGAGGTTCAGGAGTTTGGTCTGGGCTGATGCCCAGGGGCTCAGGTCCTCCTCCTCAACCCCTTTCCACTGAGAACCATCAACCAACCCAGAAACCCAGCCCAGAACCTTGCCCAGAGGCACTGCCCTGCAGAGTCTGGCCTCTGCCTGGCGCCTGTACTTTTTACCTATACATGTGGAAAAGTTTTGCACCTGGGGACAGTTGAGAGGAGGGGGGTGTGCTGAAGTCCCCCCCCGCCACACACACACACACTTCAGCCCTGAGGAGGCTGAGGCAGGCACTGGCTGGAGCCACTGTCAGTATTGGCAGGGTGGACCCATGAGTCCCCAGGCCAGGCTTGACTGTGGTTTCCCCAGGCAGGGCTGCTCCCCACCTCTGAGTCCAGGCTCTGGAGCATCCCATAAATGCCGAATGGGGTAGGAGGTAGGTGTCCGTGGCACGGGGGTCACTGAGGACAGGGGTCCTCGAGGTCTCCCATTTGTCAGCCTGTGTGTCCCCGTCCCAAGGACTGCTGGATTAATTAGGGCCTCCTTCCCTGCCCATCTGATGCTGCTCCCTCTCTTGCAGGTTTTGTACATCAGGAAGAAGAAGAGGTAACTCCCCGGCCGCCCCCAAGACTGAAGCCTGTGGGCTATGCTGGGCTGGACTCTAGGGACATGGGTGGGGAAGGAGAGTCCTCCCATCACGAGGGTCCCTCTCCCTAGTCAGGGAGTCAAGGTCCCCCCTGCCCACTCAGGATTGGGGGTGACCACTTTCCCTTGGGGAGGGCTGAGCCACCCTTGCTCTGCTGCCATTGACTCCCATTTCCCCACCCCAGGCCCCCCAGAGGCTGTGGGCCACACAAGCCCCTGGCTTACCAGTCCCCATGGCCCCCACGGATGACAGCTCTGTGACCCTTGGCCCCATCTGGTCCCAGGAGTGGGTAACTCTCCCTCCCAGGCCACCCATCCTAGGGGCAGAGCCAGTACTGTATGCGCAGAAATGTCTGTCACTGAATCCCGGGGAAAATTTTAGGACCATAAATAGGACTGTGTCAGAGGATCCGCAGGCAGGGCCTGGAGGGCTGGTGGGAGGGGAAGGGCCTACCCGGCCCCCAGCAGTCTCTGCCCCCACCCCCAGGCTGGAGAAGCTACGCCACCAGCTCATGCCTATGTACAACTTTGACCCCACGGAGGAGCAAGACGAACTGGAGCAGGAGCTGCTGGAACACGGGCGGGACGCTGCCTCCGTGCAGGCCGCCGCCGCGGGGCAGGCCACGCAGGGCAAGGTGGGCGCTGGCCAGGCTCCCCCACCCAGCCCGCACGCAGGCCGCTCATGGCTCTCCCGCCCCCACCCTTCCTCCTTTCCCGGGCAGCTTCCTAACACCTGCCATGTGGTCAGGTGGCAGCTATCTGGGCTTTGTCGGGTTGGATTAGAAACAGGTAGAATTGCTCTGTGGTCCCTCACAGATCACTGCACAGCCAGGCCGGGGCAGCCTTGGGGTCCAGCCCACTCTGCCCCTGATCACCTGGGAAAGTCCATTGGCCTCTCTGAGCCTCAGTTTTCTCATCTTCAAGTGAAAAAAAACCCTGATTCTTGCCTTGGGTGCACCCCTGCAACTAGGGGGAAAGCAGGAGGGAATGTTGGGAGGCTGAGACCCTGGGTTCCTCTGCTTCCTGAGATCACAGTGCTGAGTGAGTTGTCACTGGGGTCAGATTCTGGCACCTCTGAGTAGACCGGTGGGTTCCCAGTAACTGGCAGACCCCAGGCAGGTGCAGACCCTGGGCAGACTCACCTCCCGTGTCCACAGAGGTGGGTACCTGTGTGGTTATCCTGCCAGAGTCACTGGGCTGCCCGGCCACTTGCCAGCAGTCCCTGAGATGTCTGGGGGCCAGAGCCCCATGGAGAGACCTGGTCTCCCCCGACTGTGATGCCTGTTTGCATCCCTCCTAGCCTTGACCCCACATATTGCTAAGGAATCTAGCCCCACAGAGGCAGCTTTGGGAGACTGGACTCAGGAAGAGTGGAGGCTGGGAGTCAGAGACCCTCTGGTTTGGCTGCCAGTTCTGTGTATCTGGATCAGGACTCACGCCCCCTTGGGATATTCAGAATATTGGGCTGAGAATCTCTGTCCACCCACCTCTTGGGACGACTGACCATTTGACAGTCGTTTCCTGTGCTGCAGCTTTGGGGCTTGGGGTACAGAGGTGAGCCCCCTCTGCTGGGAGAAGGTGGTACATGCGTAATTAATCCTGGGACCCCAGGGAAAGTGCTGCCTCTGGCTGAGAAGGCAAGTCGAGCTGGGGATGGCTGTCAGGAGGAGTCATGGGAGGAATCACTTGAGTCAGGTCATATTTCTTGGCTGAGCTTATGGGAGTGCATTCCAGGCAGAAGGCATAGTGGGTGCCAAGTGCAAGTCAGCAGCAGAGGGTGGCGGTGACTGGGTCAGAGAGGGCCCGGCCTCAGTCAAGGTCCCTGACGCCCTGACTGTCTCCGTGCAGACCACGCTCCCTTCTCAGGGCCCAGTGCAGAGGCCCAGTCGGCTGGTGTTCACCGATGTGGCCAATGCCATCCATGCGTGAGTAGCCCGGGGATGGGCCTGGACCTCTGATGAAGACATCCGCTGCAGTGCCCACAGAGCCACCCACTCCAAGATCACTAAGACCGACTCTCAGGACCTGCCCTGCCGAGGCCCCAGCTGTTCTGAGGACCCAGCTGCTGACTCTCCAGGCTCTAAAAGAGGCCTCCCCACTGCTCCCCCGGCCAGGAGGAGGTCTGTCCATATGACGGGGATCCATGAGGTCTTCCAGCCACCCCTCCCCATTGGCCGGCTATGGGCTGGGCCCAAGCTCGGAGGAGAGCTGAGGGGGAGGGGAGGCGGGGGAGCAGGTGCGGAGGGATGCGGGGCCAGACCCGCAGCAAGGCCTCCTGCATGCACATCACTGTGCCCACCTGCAGACACGCGCCTGAGCCAGCACAGAGGACAGGATGGAGACCCCCGCATTGGCTCCACCCTCCCACCGACCTGCACCCCAAGGCGTGAAGAAGAACATTAAGCGGGCCACCCCCTCTCTGCCATCAGCATCAGGGACTGGCGGGAGCGGGGAAGCCGAGCCAAGGGTCCAGTGCCCACCGCATCTCTTCACTGAGCTCTACAAGCCAGTAACCAGCTTCGGGAACAGCCCCCCTGTCTTTGTGTTTATTGGGGATCCAGGGTTGGGGGAGAGGCTACTGGTCTGGGGGCAGTGGTCACAGGCTGTGAGATCTGACTGCCTGAAACAGGATGGGGATGGCCCTTTGCAGAACAGAACAGACCTAGTGTGGGTTCTGATCACCTTTGGTCTGCCCACCCCCTGCTCCACAGGAGTTCTGCCAGTCTGGGCATCTGGGTCAAGCCAGACCCCGAGAGCCGGGCGCGGCTCTGCAGGGCACGCATGCGCACATGAGCACGCCAGCGCACCCTTGTGCCCAGCCTCGCCGCCGCTATCCTCCGCTGGTTGGAGCGGACGCGAAGGCGGCAGGTACGAACCCTCTGTTGGGCAAATACCACCCTCAGGATGTGAGGGCCTAGGAGGCCTTCGTGGGGAAGGTTCTGGATTTATTTCCTCGGCTGGATGCTATAAATACGTTAGCATTGGAGCCAACTGGAGGGCTGCGGGTAATTTGGGATGCGCAGAAACTGTAATTTAACTCACAGCATCTCCGTGTGAGAGCATTAAAGATGTAATTAAGACGTTTACACAGAGAGTGTGAGCCTGTGACTGAGGATATGAAACCCCAGCGCGGGGTGGAGGGTGCGGGTTGAGGGACTGGGGAGGGAGGGTGTCACTTGGATCCCAGCCTTGAGGAGGCAGCCCGGCTGTCTTTCCTTGATCTATCCAATGACATGCCTCTAGTGTTGAGTTCAAGGCTGTTCCGGGGCCTTGAACCTCAACTGTGGAATGGCGTCACCATGCCTGCTATCCCCTTGATTGGAGAGCCAAGTGGACAGGAACTATGGGACCAGAGGAGGGAGGGGGCTTGAGACCCATAGAACCTGTGTCTGAAACACAAAAGAGAAAAAGAAATAATGTGTTTTTTCCCAGAGCACAGGGTTGCAGTGGGGGGTGGGAACCCACCTGCAGGGCTCAGAAGGGTTTGGAGGGTTTGGTCACTGGGGTGACCAAATGCCCTGGTTTTCTCAGGACTGCACAGCTTTAGCATTGAAAAATCTCAAACCAGGACTTGAAGTGACGTCCAGGCCCTCCGCTAAAGAATGGAGCCTGCAGGCTGGCATAAGTGGAAACAAGGAGGGGTGAACCCCAGTCCCAGGGTGGAGGGCTGGGCTGGAGGCGGGGACTCCTGGACAGGGCCCTGGGTGAGAGTGGGGACTTCAAACACTCCATGGGCCTCCCACACTGGGGTCAGACTGCCGGGCCTCTCCTTCCCTCAGCAGACTGGCAGAGGATACCTGAGGGTGAGGGGAGGGGTGTGTGGGCTATGCACCCCCAACTAGTTGGATAGCCCCTCAGCCTGAGAAGGTGGGAGCCGCAGAAGACCAAGGTCCAAGGGACCCTAAAATGGTGCCTGTGGAGTAAAGTGGGCACCCAGTGGGCCCAGGATGGGGGCTCCAGGAGGAACCCAACACCATTCTCACCCCCTGCCTGCCCCAGGCCCCGGTCCTGGTGGGTGGGTCTGGCGAGGTGATGGACACAGGGCCAGTTTCTGGGGGTGACAAGAGCCACTTCCTTCTCTTTTGTCCCCTCACAGTCACCCCCTCTTCCCTTCCACCCACCTTCTGATTTCTAGCTCTTTCTCAGTCCTGGAGGAAAACCAAATTCCCCCCAGAGTTCCCAGGCCTTCCACAGAGCATGGTCTCAATAAACATTGGGATAAAAGGCTCCTGGTGATATGTCCTTGTGCCCATGGGCTAATGGGTTGACCAGAACTCTCCTCACCACCCTCAGCCATACAGACAGGATGACGTTCCTGCTCCTGTGGCGACTGTTACAAAGGGGCCCTTGGGAGCTGCTCCCTGGGCCCCCACCCTTGCATACACGTAGTGTGTGAAGCCTCCCCTCGGGCAGTGACCGGGGCTGCAGGCAGAAGCCACGGCAGTTTGCAGTGGGTGGCACCAGGGTGGACGTGAACCGATGCCTTCAGAGGAGGCCATCTTGTTTAATCAAGTGGAATGTCACCTTCGAGTCAAAGTGAATACAGTAATCCTGTTGCCTGGCTGCTGGCAGACGCCAGGGACGCCTTCAGAATATAGAGGAAAGTTGGGGTGAGCCCAGAAACTCCTGTAGAGCAGTCTGACCTTGCAATGGATTCCTTCCAGAAACATCACTGAGCTCCACCCTTTGGGGGTGGGGGGAGGGCAGCACCAGCCCAGTCTCTGCAATGCTGTCTGAGATGGGAGGGAACAGATGTCGAATAGCAAGAAAGGATGAGTGTGTGTTGGTGTGTTTGACAAGTATCCACACACACTCTAGGTCTGTATCTCTACATCTCTACATCTACATCTACATCTACATGAAAAAGAAGGAAGACGGTCCGGTGTTCCTGGGGCTGTTCAGAGGCTGACAGCATGTACTGCCACCCTGTCCTGTCCAACTGCACCCCACAGCAGCCTCAGGGTGAAGGGCCTCGGCTGAGTGTCTGAGGGAACCCCAGGAGCCACTGTCCTGGCCTCTGAGGGCTCAGGAAGGGGGGCAACTATAGCCACGGGCATCAGTGGTCATACAGAGGACTCTCCTGAAAGGCCAGAGATGCTGAGTGGTGAGCGAGAAGTGTGTGAGTCCCCCCTTGGCGGGGGGATGGTGCTGAGCGCCATCCCACACTGGGCCTGGATCTGCCCTTGGCACCCCCCACCCCACCTCAGAGCCCCTTGGCAGTGGTCCCCACTGCCCCCCCCGTTACCCCGGGGGCTTTGATTCTACGAGTGGAAGATCAGGTGCCTGTGCTCATGGTGGGGGGGGAGCCCTCCACAATACCTCCAGGAGCTAGAGGATGGGCTGCAAGCATGTGGGGTGGGGGACAAGGAGTTGAGGGGGTCTCCTCTCTCCCAGGCCCCAAGGGGGTGGGGGATGGAGCAGAGTGGGTCGGTGGGGCTGAGAGCTATCTGGGAAGGGGGATTCCTTTCCCAGCCCCCCTGCACCAGGGAATGCAATCCATATCAGAGACCCAGTACAAAATAAAAAGCTTTAAAAAATCTATAGAAAACAGCAAATAAAATAATGTGTGGTCTATTGAACTCCTACCACGTGCCAGGTAGGTGGACAAGCTCACGGAGGGAGGGCCAAGTCAGGGTTCCCCACTGCCTTTCACAGGACCATGGCCACAGAGGGCCTTGGCAATGGGCCTTGGGCCACCTCAAGGGCCAGAATCTGGTCCCAGCAACTGTCACCTTTGATTGGCTTGATCCCGGCACAATCTCACTTTATTCCCAGTGCCCTTGTGGGGGATATACTGTCACTCATCTTACAAGGAAAGAGATCCAGCCCCCAGAGACTGGGGCCATCAGGCTGAGAGCCAGGGGACTGGCTCTTCCTCTACACTGTTTGAAAAAGGAGTTGCAGGCAAGACCAGGAAACAGGAGGGTGCTGCTGCCTGAAGGGGCACCCAGTGGGTATTACCCACTTGGCCACACGAGCTGCTTTCCAGCATCAAATGCTGTCCTGTGCTGCCACCTGCTGGCACCTCCTAAGCACTGCAGGTGGCCTTCCTGCCCTGTCTCGCTCCATCCTCTGACCCCTCCCCGAGTCATGGAGAGCAACCTTCACGCCGCGGGTCCTGACCTGGGGGCTCATCTGGCAGGAGTAGGGAGAGATGAGCGGGAACCTGGGGTTCAAAGTGTCACAAGGCATTCACTCGGGCGCTGATACTACACTTGCACCAACTAACATGAGTGCCCCCCCCTCAAATCTGTGCCCTTGGATGCTTCAGCCTACTATGCAGACCCCTCTTGGTCAGGGCCCAGGGGACAGACCCTGAACCCCTGCCCCACCGCCGCTCCCAGGCCCGCAGGCTGGAGGCCCAGCGAGGGGAGTGTGGGCCCCTCCCTGGCGGAGCTAGCTGAGATGCTCTTTACCCCGAGGAGGCTGAGAACCGCAGATTATGAGGGACTTAAGGGACTTAGCAGCAACTTCATAACAGTTCAATAAGGTGACAGACACTCTGAAGCCTCGGATGAAGGCGAGAGGGAGGCAGGATTCCTGCCTTAAATCGTTGCGGGTGGCAAGGCCTGCGTGTGAACCTTCTGCAGATTTGCGGATAATACCAGAGCCCATTTAACCCCTCAGCAGCCCCAGAGCATGGACACCAGGCATGCCCTCATATCACAAATAGGGAAACTGAGGCACACAGCAGCAGGGGAAGTCGGCAGCAGCAGGGCCAGGTGAGTTACCCCCAGAGCTCACACCCAAGACCTCCCCACCAAAAAAAGTAAGAATGTTCTCTGTAGACAGAGCTGTCCCTTCCTCTCACCACTCATTTGTTCTCTTCAAGCATCCCCAGCTCCTGCACGCCAGGCCCTCTCTCTGCTGGACGCTGGGGCTGAGGGGCACCCACAGGGAGCTGGCCTCCTAAGATCCCACCCAGGGTGACAGCCAGGACGGTGAGGCTGACAGCAACTACTCACCCCTCTCTGGGAAGTGACAAGTGAAGCAGGTGAGGTGACAGGAATTCAGAGGAGGAGACATCACTTCTGACTGGGGGCAAGGTGAGGCTTTCTTAAAGTTTTTATTGGAGTGCAGTTGCTTTACAATGTTGCATTTCTGCAGTACAGCAAAGTAAATAACTATACATATGTGTATATATATCTCGGCTTCCCGCGTGGTACTAGTGATAAAGATCCTCCTGCCAATGCAGGAGACGAAAGAGACACGGGTTTGACGCCTGGGTCAGGAAGATTCCCTGGAGGAGGGCAGGGCAACCCACTGCAGTATTCTTGCCTGGAGAATCCCCTGGACAGAGGAGCCTGGTGGGCTACAGTCCATAGGGTTGCAAAGAGTCAGACACGACTGAAGCGACTTAGCACAGCATAGCACATACATATATCTCCTCTTTTTTGGCTTTCCTTCCCATTTAGGTTACCACAGAGCCCTGAGTAGTGTTCCCTGAGCTATACAATAGGTTCTCATAACTATTTTACACATAGTATCAATAGTGTGTATATGTCTATCCTAATCTCTCAATTCATCCTCTTCCTCCTCTCCCCCTTGGTGTCCACGCATTTGTTCTCTATGCCTGTATCTCTCTTCTTTGCAAAAAAAAAAAAAAAAAAGTACGGAATTCTTCATAAATTTTGGTGTCATCTTCACCAAGGGCCAAGCTAATCTCTGTACTGAGAAGATATATTCCAGCAAGTATATCAATTTTAGTATATGCATTGCCAAAGTGAGCACCAAGGCAAGGCTGTCCTTGTGCTGGGGTTGGATACCAGGCGACAATGGTGGCGACCTGCCCAAACCTCAGTGGGTGAGTGGACCAGTCTCCCTTGACCGGGTAAGGGCCTTCCCAATGTGACCAGCAGGTGGCACTGCAGACCCAGATTAGGGGCATGGTTTGTGGGGCCAGTTTGGGGAGAGCTCTCCCTGAAGTTCCGCTTGAAGGTCCTTTTTGCAGGAGTCTGGGAGTCTGGGTGGCTGGTGTACCGAAGCTGTCTGCTTCCTCCCTGCCAGGAGCAGGCCTGAACTGGGTCTGGGTCAGGG